CTTACTTCAGTAGTGGGGAAAGTAATGGAAACCATGTTAAAGGATAGGATTGTTGAACATCTAAAATCACATGGATTTCAAGATCTGAAACAACAGAGGTTTACTTCAGGGAGATCATGCCAAACTAATCTTATTCATTAGACCACTTAAAAGTAGGCAGACAATGTAATAGAGCAGCAGGAAATGCTAACAGAATGCTTTGTTGTATAGGGAGAGGTATTAGCAGTAGAAAGAGGAAAGTGCTCATGCATATGTACAGAACACTGGTGAGACCTCATTTTAAGTATTGTATGCAGTACTGGAGACCGCATCTCCATAAGCATGTTGCTACTTTGGAGAGAGTTAAGAGAAGGGCTACTAAACTGGTTCATGGATTGCAGGATAAAATTTACACGGAAAGATTAAAGGAACTTAACATGTATAGCTTGGAGGAAAGACGAGACAGGGGGATAAGATAGAAACTTTTAAATACATAAAGGGAATCAACACAGTAAAGGAGGAGACTATATTTAAAAAAAAGGAAAACTACCACAACAAGAGGACATAGTCGTAAATTAGAGGGGCAAAGGTTTAAAAATAATATCAAGAAGTATTACTTTACTGAGAGGGTGGTGGATGCATGGAATAGCCTTCCAGCTGATGTGGTAGAGGTTAACACAGTGAAGGAGTTTAAGCATGCGTGGGATAGGCATAATAAGACTAGATGGGCTGAATGGTTCTTATCTGCCATCACTTTCTATGTTTGTAACCCTAATCCTAACCCTAACCTTAATCCACTTCGGATCTTAGGCAATTCAGAACTTTGGTTATTTAGGACTTCGGCAATTCAGGACTTCGGCAATGCGGTTTGGTTCGTCACTTTGGAAATTTGGCACTTCAGCAATTCAGAAATTTGGCAATTCGGAAATTCGAACTTCGGACATTCGTAAGCATCCGAATGTCCGAATTTCATGAAATTCGCCCAAATGTACATTCAGAACCAAACGTATTGCACATGTCTACAAATTACAGTGTGCAAGAAGCTGTAAGGCATGTCAAGGTATTGTCAGGTATATTGTAACTAGGCTTTTTTGTAGCATTGGTGCAGTGAAGGCTTCTTTCTGGCAACTTGACCATGCAACTCATTTTTGTTCAAGTATCGTCATATTGTGCTCCTTGTATCAACCACGCCGTCTTTTTCCAGAGCAGCCTGTATTTCTCCTGAGGTTACCTGTTGGTTTTTCTTTGTAACCGGAACAATTCTTCTGGCAGTTGTGGTGGAAATCTTACTTGGTCTACCTGACCTTGGCTTGGTATCAAGAGATCCCCAAATTTTCCACTTCATTAAATGAGTGGATAGTACTGACTAGCATTTTCAATCTTTTTATATCCTTTTCCATCTTTATAAAGTTACAATTACCTTGTTACACAGGTCTTTTGACAGTTGTTTTTTGCTCCCATATGGCTCAGTGCATCCATGTGAGAGCTAACAAACTCTTTGACTATTTATACACAGACACTAATTGCATTTTAAAAAGTCACAGGTGTGGGAAATCAAACGTTAATTGTCATTTTAACCTGTGTTTATCACTTGTGTGTCTGTAACAAGCCAAGCATTCAAGGGTATGTAAACTTTTGATCAGGGCAATTTGGGTGATTTCTGTTATCATTATGATTTAAAAAGAAGCTAAACAACTATGTAATAACAAATGGCTTTATATGATCCCTATCCTTCAATAAACGGCAGTCATATTTTCAAAATCAATGCCACAATTTCACAATTTCTGCCAGGGTGTCAGGATTACTAATTGATCCAGCACGTAGAATTGTATCACACCTAGGACTCAAAGGTAACGTCTTACCGGGCCTTAGAATGGCCGGACTTAACGTACCAAAGAATAGTCAGAATACTTGCCGAGGTCGGGGACACAGAATATGACACAACGAAAAGGGAAAGCCAAAAGTCAGGGATACCAGAATACAAGTCAAAACAAAGCCAAAGTCAATAACCAGAAATAAACGCTCAGGAACACACTCTCGGAAAACCACTAAGGGAAACCACGACAGGTCAATGAGGAAAAGACAAACGGAGTTTAAATAATCCTTTCTTAGATCCAATTAGCCATGCCCGACCTTTGACCCCAGAACGTGCATGCGGATCCTTGACGTGACGTCACACGCATGCCGACGTCGTTAATGCTGTGGGCGGTCGTGGGGCTACAAATTAGTGTGGATATGCAGCGGCCAGTGGCCACCAACATGCTGCAGGAGTCAGACACATTGACGCATGGCCGCTGAACGGCACTACCACGTTTGTTAGCAAGGCAATTACTGC